ATCACATGTAAATACTACACAGGACATAGGAGTTTGTTAGAGTGAACATGATTGTATAGAAGCTGAATACCTTTTGTTCAGATCATGCAACATTGCAAAACTAGCTCTTGGAATTCAGTCTTAAGTGTTTGTTTCATGTGTTAAAGCAGCTTAGCCTCAGTCAGCGTATAGGAAGCATGCACTGAGAAGGTGAAGCAGGCGAAAATTATGGTTATAAATTACAGCTGTTTATTCCTCTCATTTCAGCCACCATGCAGGCCCTCCTGATTAAAAACCACAAAGTCCATCGGTGGGTGGGGCAGCTCATCTCAGAGCAGGATCAGGTGCCATGGGTAAGACAAGATTGGCTAATTGAACTGTCATATTTAATGTTCACACTCTCTCTCCCACTCACATATACAAATATAAAATGTGGACAATTTCTTGACCTGTGTGTGGTGTTCTCAGCATAACCGAGCACTCTGGTTATATATTGGAGGGGTAATCTTACACACTGCTGTCCTATCACCTGCCCCTAGTGCATACACACACTTACACAGAGGACATGACACTTATTCAGACCTATTCACTGCACCTGCCATTTGATTTCTGCTCTGCCAATTAAATCCAGCAAGCTGAAATGAAACGGCTGCCCATATTTTAGGAAGCTGGCTTTTTCCTATTACCTTCAGACATATCGAATGATATCTCGGAAATGGATGTGGAACATCATTCAAGAATAAATCTGGAAGTGGAAGAATATTTTGATTACACCCGACCTTTCATTTGTAACCCTTTTTCTCACTGTTGTCTAAAGTGTGCATGGTCATGTTCTTCCCATGGAAATTCTCTTTATTTGTCATCACTGAAATTCAGCATCTGTCCATCTGCATATGTATTGCTCTCTCGGGCATCCTTGCCACCCACGATGCTCCAGCAACCCCGGCTCCTCCGTGTGAGCGTCTGAACCCGCTGTGAATTTTGGTGGGGCAACAGATGCTAGCGACAGCCCTCTGAGCCTAATTATCCACTCCAGCCCTGCTCTTTTGTGTGGCATGTGCACGTGCGTCCGTTCAACTTTCTGCTTGACTTTAACTTGGTGACGGGAGGATTCGCTGCTAATTGTCCAGTAACACACCCCTCCAGCCTCCACTATTGTCCAGCCGTCTCTGCACAATGGCTATCATTAATCAAGCCATTGAGGAGAGAGTTGAACTCACGAACCTGCACCGCCCAGCCCTGGTTACGGAGGAAGTTTTCAATTCCCCTGGTCGTCACAAGGACACAGTGGGGCAGACAAGTTGTGAAGGGAAATTAGAAGAAGATATAAGTTGAGCTGAAAAAAAGAGATAAATTAAATTTGCTCAATTCAAATCCATAAACTGTTTGCAGATGAATATATTAACACAATTATTGCCAAAAGTAGGTGAACTCAAAGACAGAATAGTGTCAGTGTAATATACTTTATTCATTTGGAAATAGTGTACACATTTGAACTTAGTGCATCACTTTTATCATCGTGATGGAGGTGACCGGTATTCTGTTGGAGCGTCACGGCTCTTCATTCCTTTTTCTGCTGAACTTGATGAAGCTGGTGGAATGGAGAGTGGTATAGTGATAATGCTTCAACTGACTGGTGGAACTGCATTACAACCTAGTGCAACTGATGACACGCAGGGGTCAGACAGTCATGGAGGGGGCAGTCTGTGATACTCTGCAACATTTGTGTATGAATAGTGGGTCCACTGAGTGCTTCCTCTTCACTTTCCTCAGTCCAAATGTTCTCCTGCTCCTCTGGACAGTTGGTTGGAAAGTAAAGCATGGGAGTTTTTTTGAAGCTTTGTTTATTAAACCCTCTTCAGTTCCCCAGTCTTCCCATTCATGAGTGTAAATACATTATATTCTATTCAGGCTCAGCTGATTGCATGCATTATGCTTACATTCAATAGTGATTTTCTAGAGAAAAAAAAGGAAAAAACAAAGTTGGCTGTAGGTGAGATTCATCTTCAATTCCCCTAGACTGTGTACACAGAAGGAGAAGCAGATGACATGACTTGGTGCAAGTAATTATGTGCCTTTGAGTGTAAGATAACCTGTTTATTGCATCTGATAGTGGCGCAGCTGCACACAGTTGTTCCTTTGTTTTCAGGGCCTGACGTGGAGCCGTTAGCTGTAAACGATCATTTGACAGTCATAAAGCACTCTGTAGTTCAGGTGCTTTGGTCAACGTTATAATGAAATAAACAGATGAATATTGTTTGAGGAAGAAAGGGCTTTAAAAGAACTGTCAGATAACTGATAATATTATGGAAAGTCACTGTCATTATGAAGTCATTGGAAATAGTGAATTGAGAGTAGAAGTGATTTTTTTTTAATCCGACAAGTTTAATTTAGTCCAAGACAGCATTTAATTAAGTGCCCGGTTTGTAGTCAACCTAAAACTAAGTTAGACACGTCTTAAATATTTTTATGGGAAAGGAGTACCCTTTATTTTCATTTTAGTTTTATTCTTATTTACAATATTAGTGTTAATTCAAGAATGTTATTTTGCTTGCTGTGTGTTTTGTTTATTTATTAATCCCTGTATGTAATGTGGTTTCTTTGTCTGAATGATGCATTTACACCTCTTTTTGTTCCCCAGTTATTATCATTATTATTATTATTATTATTGTTATTATTATTACTATTATTATTGTTATTATTATTATTATTATTATTATATCTTTATTTTCTATCAAATGTACGTCTGCATAGTTAGCTATAATTGATGATCTCTGACACTATTGATCATAAAACTAAATGATACTGAGCCTGTATTTCATTTATATACTTTAAAAATATACATCAAGCTGTATATTTTAACTTTGCATTAGGGATGTATTGGATCATTTGTGTTGAAGTTGAGTGATTTGTTAGCTACAAAAATGATCAACATTTAACTAATTAATCTCTATTGTAATTACTTGCATCCCTTTTTCCTTTTACAATGAAAAATACATCTGTTTAATTTAGCTGATCTCCCTTTATGTAAACACAGTACTGGTTAATGACTGACAGAACCAGGTCTAATAAATTACCTTTATCTTCCTAATGAACTGAGATTAATTATGGTCCCAAGGTCTGGCCTGGGAAAGGGGCATTTTCTTTCTCTCTTTCTCTCTTTCTCTCTCTCTCTCTCTCTCTCTCTCTCTCTCTGTGGGAATTAATAATTTACACAATAAATAGTTTCAAAAGACAATTTTGCCATTTCTCTTTCTATATATTTGTATATATCAGATTCCTCCCTGGTAGAAAAATGCAGATTTTTAAATGAAGTGTGCTTATAGTTTTTCTAGTTATTTTTTTATGTTTTATTGCATTATTTACGTCCCGGCTGAATATACCTGCTCCTTGAAGCCTTTTGCTGGTGAAATCATGATTGTATTTAGAATGAATTAATGACTACGGCATCAATCCCTCTGGTTTGCTCACAGAAACAAAGCAAACTTCTGACACAACACCAATCAGTGCCTTAATAAACTTAATCATTATTAATGAATGCTTATTTGTAAGATACACCGACTGTGTGTGATGTTCCTCCTGAGCAGGGGATGATATATTGCTTATCACATAACAAACCTCTAATCAGCTATGAGGAAATCAAATTGCCTTTAATGGTGATTAGTGGAAAAACTAACTAACCCTACTCTGCCAGTTTTATTACACTGAGTTTATAATGATGGGAAATTGAGCTTTAGATATGAGAACCCTCTTAATGTCCAGTCAGTTATTAAAACACAATAAAGAGCATGTGTTGACCAGTAGACTGCTCAGTATGACCTGTAGTGGCCTTTGTGTGTGTGTGTGTGTGTGTGTGTGTGTATCATGCTCTCTGTGAGAAAACACCCACCTGAGGACACCTGCACATGCAGGGTGGGAAGGGTCAAATTGTCGATAATCCTTCATCATCAAGGTCAGAGAGCTGCCCAAATGGGTAAATTCAAACCTACAAAGACAGCAGAAGCAGTGTGAGAGGCGTTCTCTGTTCTTTCCTTTCCATTTGCCTGCTGTTTGGTGTTTGCTAATTCTTTATATGAACACATTTATCTCTGATGGTCTGCATTTTATCAGTCATTCAGCTCAGTGCTTATCATTTGTATGGCAAGTGATAAGCTAAATATGAATATTTTTACATTTAGTTTATTTTTAATTTCTTTCATTATTTTCATATCTGTTCAAATGTTGATAATAGTAGTGGTAACAGTATTATTAATGGTATTATTAATAAAAATACTATGTCATAATTATGTAGTAATAATAATAATAATAATAATAATAAAATACTTTTCCATGAACTTATGTTCATTGTTTTTATTAGTGGTATTAGTATTACTGTTAGTATTATTATTATTATATTTTGATTTCATTTATTTTTTAGCTTGCCTGTTTGTTTTTTATTTAGTTGGTCTGTTTGTGTAGGTGTTTATTTGTTTGGGTATATCCATTCATTTCACCGATATCATTTCCAGGTTTAGTGTTTCTGTTCTAGTAATAGAAAACACACGACGTCCCTGAAATGAACAGTGACTAACTCATACTGAATCTAAATGAGCTGATAATAACCTGAAACACGTTACCTGTGATTACTCAACCTGTGCGCATTAGACCGTTCCAACGAGAACAGTTTTCGCGAAAAGTAAATCAGCTGAAAGATCATGTTTTAACCTGTACGTAATGCACATTGGAATAAACTCAGAGCGCTTCTTTTTCAGCTCTGTAAAGCTGAAGAGCTCTGCAGGCGCCCGGAGTCCGTTTATGAGAACGCTATCAGCCAGTCAGAAAACAGCGCGCCCCACCCGTATTCCGACAAGCACCGCCCCCAATTTGCCCTCCGTTGTTCTGCAGTTGCTGTGGTGACGCTAGGGACTTCGGCGACCTACCTGTGAGCCAATCAGAGCCCAGGGCCTTTCCGGAATACGGGTGAGAAAAAAAACTTCACGCTTGTAAAAGAGGGAGCTGCACCTTCACTTGGCAGCGACGCCGCCGAGGGCTGTAGAGACACGATGAGGGAGACCACCACACAGAGGACAGTTAGATACAAACTCTAAAACTTAGCGCAATCAGATGAGCGGCTGGCTTAGAGACAGGCAAAGTTAAAGAAAGGCCATTTTAGAATCTGTAAGGACGCCAAAAAGTCAAACAATAAACATTGTGAAGACCTTAAAAAACATATAAAGACATTTGTAAGGACATTTAGAACCTGCGGAGGGAAAAGCATCGTGGAGGATTCCGTCCCCATGGACAAGTCGAAGAGTTTCCGGATCGACGCTCTGCTGGCGGAGGAGTGCCGGATGGTGGGGGACAGTGACGCCGGACTGTCTCCTGTCGACCCCGCGGATGTGTCCCCGCAGCCACGCGGTTTGGTGGCTAAACCCGGGCTCCTCAGCATTTCCCCCCCGCCGCTGGCCCCGCTGCCCCCCGGCTCGCTCGCGGGGCTCTACTCTCTCCCACACGCGCCCATGTGCGCCGTACCGCACGCCCCCCTCCCGCAGCCCCACCCGGAGCACGTGCGCGCCGCGGTTCTGGCGGGACATTTCCACCTGGAGCCGTGGATCCGCGCCGGAGCGCTGCTGCCCAGACTGGCGCACTTCACTGGTACGTGCCTCACCCTCACCGAGAGTTACTGAGAAAGACGGTGATTTTAAGTCAGACCACATGATTTAGACGTGCCAGTGGGCTGGGTGTGAATGAAATATCAACACAATTGATGTCTTTCAATTTTGGCAAGAATTGTGTTATCACTTTGTAATAACGTGTATCTGACGGACACACTTGAATCACACGAATTCAAAGCCGTTTTTCAGTGTAGGGTGGTTCAGTGAAGATGTTGACTTCCTGCTCTGAAACTCCAGTAACAGGTTAACCAGGACAGAGTCACAGACTGGACTGCTTTCTCAGACAGAGAAGAGTTGACAAAAGAGGAAAATAAGGAGAACAGAAAGTCTAAAAACTGTGCTGATTTAATGTGTATGTTCTAACAAAACTATCAACACAGTTATTGCTCAAGCTAGCTTAAATACATTGAAAGATAATAAATATGGTGATATGTTTTATATTTTTCATGTGAAAATAAAATATGAAATATGTTTTATATGAATAAGCAAAATTAAAGGATTTAATATTAGATTTTTTTTTTCCAGGATACTTAGAATTATTTCACTTGGGAAAATATTATTTATAGGGAATCTCAGAGGGAGATCCTGAAGGTTAAATACTACTACTACTACTACTACTACTAATAATAATAATAATAATAATAATAATAATAATAATGTGTAAAATAAAAATGAATGAATATTTCAAATAAAATGTATTATGTAGCTGTATGAATATTATTTTACTTTATTTAGATTACAGCAGTTATAGGCTACCTGGCCTTCAACTGAGTCACTAGTAGAATACTATAAATATTGGAAAAGTATTACAAAAGTCTGAAACCTTTAAACTGGAACATTATTATTATTATTATTATTATTATTGTTAATATTATTATTATTAATGTTATTTTCAGACTCCTTTAAAGCTGATTCTCTATTGTAAATAATATTTTCTCATGTTAAATTGTAAAATGTCACATGTGAAGCATTATTACACTTAATACTATGAGAAAATAATTTAACTTGTTAAAAAAATATATACCTCCAAAATCTAGTCAAATGATAAACATATTTAGTGGACTGTAGTAAAGGACCAATACCTGACCTGTGCCTCTGTAAACCTACCTGCTTAATCAACCCTCCATACCCAGCCATCCAGCCATTCATTCATTTGTCCATTCGTTTAACCTAAGTGTTGTTTGGGTCAAGGCAGTGACAATGGGGATGAGTAACAGCCCGAAACTATCAATTGAAGAGTAATTGATTTTATGTTAGATATATCCAATGAAGCTGAGTTGAGAGACCCTAAGGAGCTATAAATATTCTCCACCATAACTGAATCAGAGTTTACTGCTAACTGAACTATAATGTAAGCTTTTTATTTTTAGTCCTTTCATATTGTCATAAAGGACAGCTCTATTAAAACTGCCTTTGCCTGGCAAGAAACTATAAAGAAACACTTAAACCCCACTGTACTTTGTCAGTAAAGTTTTCTGGTAGCGTTTATTGAATTTTCATTAAGTTAATGGTGCTCTTTGGTGTTTTATTGTCCCACAAAAGCAATATCTCTGCACCCTCTCATCAACAATAAACCCAGCTAAAGCTGTTATCATTAGAGATAGAAGGACGAGGGAAGCATCCAGTATGTTTTACATTTTTTCATATTCTTATATCCTCTCTGTCCATTTCTTTCTGTCTTCTTCTCCGCTTGTCATATCCTGTTAGGTGCGCCTCAGTCCGGGCTGATGGGAAAGTGTCGTAGACCTCGGACAGCCTTCACCAGTCAGCAACTGCTAGAGCTGGAGAACCAGTTCAAGCTGAACAAGTACCTGTCTCGGCCCAAACGCTTCGAAGTGGCCACCTCACTGATGCTGACAGAAACACAGGTGAGTAGTTTGGCAACGATACATAACACATCAGTCAGTCATGCTTTCCTCACGACCACGAGTGTTTTGCTTGATGATTGACCACCGGTACTGGGATATTTAAAACCCCTCAGTGGTGTTACAGTTGCAGTACATGACTGAAGGTCTCGCATTGCATTATTTGCAGGTGAAGATTTGGTTCCAGAACCGGCGCATGAAATGGAAGCGCAGCCGCAAAGCCAAAGAACAGGCAGCCCACCTGGAGGCTGAAAGTGGTCAGCTGACCAAGCGGTCCAGCAAGGCTGGAGATGCTCGCCGATGCAGCGCACCGGATGATGATGAGGAGCTGGTGGCAGAGGAGGATGAGGAGGAGGATGAAGGCTTTGGAGGGGCCCTAAATGGCGTGGGCCTGTCTCACTCTTCAGACTTTGCCCAGCACGGCTCCGAGCTAAGCTACAGCTCTCACAGCTCTTACTCAGATGATGACCTGGAAGAGATCGGAGTGGACATGAAGACTGGAGTAGGACTCTGAAGAGTCCTGAATCTAAATGATTTCCTATGTGCAGTTCAACAGCTTGCTGCCTCCACAGCCTTCATCAGAGACTTCCTTCTTGGAAAGACTGAAGCCATGCACCAAAATCCCTTACTCAGTCTACATTCAGCTTCCACAGTATTAGAAACACCTGCATTCTGATTCAACTCACTGGAGATTTCATGTATTTTATAGGTCCAGCATGTACAGCAGGTGTACAATTACAGACTGTTGATATCCTCTACAGTGTTTTGGTCAGTTCATGACCACAAGGCCACTGTTGACCAGATATTGTTTGGGTAGTGAATCAGTCTTAAACCATCAGTGACACTGACAATGAGTGTCATGCAAACACTGAGGCATTGTTGAGGTTTTTAAAGACAGATTAAGGGCTAGATCAGGGGTGTCCAAACTTATCTGGGATTATCTAGATGATAGCTGACACAAATTATGATTGTGCATGGCAGCAGGCTGCAGTCTCTAACTGTACACCAGCAAGTTGGACCTATAAGGCAGGTGTTTTAAATAAATTGGCCTATGAATGTACATGGCCTCCATACAATATATAGATAGAAAGGCCATCTTACATTAGTTATTGATTCTCTTGTTACTTTGCACTTAATTCTCTGAAGGCCATCTTATAAACTGCTAGTTTGTCCCAAATAGGAACGTTTTCTCACTGTAAAAATGTCTCTGTCCTCTGTATTCAGGTGAGCATTTTGGAAAATGGAAATTTGTTCAACACAGAATGCAGAATTTCTCTGGAATGCCAAATGCTTACTTTTATCCTGTGTAGATACTGATCTGTACAGATGTGTGAACAAAAACAAGTGTAGATATGAACTACACTGTGTTCGTATGAACAGAGGGTTACTGTGTAGTGCTCAGCTTTTATTATTCTGCCTTTTTTCTCAGAATCCATTGACTGAATAACACAGCAGAACTGGTAAATCCTCAACCAATATTGAGATAGGGCATAATTTGAGCAGCGTGTTATTTAGTCAGTAGTTTTTGTCATGTTTGTTATTGGTGTGTTGTCTTTAATGGTATTTAAGTATTATAGATTATATCTAATTTATTCATGGTAAAGTAAAGCAGCAATTATTGTGTCGAAACACTCTGTAAAATTAAAAGCAAAATAAATAAATAAACAAGGAAAACCCAAAAACGAATTCCACTTACACTACTACTGTTTTTGTTCTTCTTATGAATGACTTGTCCTTTGTAACTGCATGCATTAATGGATTTCAGTATAAAAACCTGTTTGTCCTGAAGACCATCCTGGGCTTTTGCTGTTGTAAACGTATGTGTCTGTAAAGCAGCAAGCACTGTTGTTCCTTCCTCTCTCCTCCGGCCCTCCCTTTTCTCCTGTTTAACCTCCAGCTGACAAAGATGGTGATTAAAGCACCAGAGAATCTGCAGTGCATTATGGGCAATCTGCTTGTTATTTACGGCCATGCCTCTCAAATATGAATTACTCAGGCAGGTTTACTGATGGACAAATAATTAAGTTAATGAAGGGGGAGTAAAATAATCAGCTCCTTATGCTGATGTCACAGGCCCATTTAATTTGTGGAAAAATGCTTCTGGGACCAAAAGAGGAACTTTATTGGGTGTGGGTCTCGGTTATGAGGGCAGCACTTTAATATGAGAGCAGAAAAGATGCAGCAGTCCATCTTCTCTCAGCGTCAAAAAGGATGCATTTATAAGTATGTTAAATGCAGTTTACTGGAGGACGGATTTACTCTGCCAAAGCAGAAGCAGAAGACAAATTCTCCAACCATTTCTCTGAAGCTTTTGGGAAATTACGAGATTGGTTTTTGTTCACTGGGTTTAAGTGAATGTCCCTCCTCTCGTTCCGTCGTTGCCATGGAGAGGAAACACACAACTCTGCTGTCAAACAAACTAGCACAAGCTAAACTATTAACTTCCGACACAAGATTGTGTTATTTGTAAAATAATTCAAGCTAATGAGGTAAGACTCGTAACGTAATGTGTCGTTTCTGTTTGTGGATAAGCTCAGCTAACCAAATTGAGCGCAAATGCAATTTTAATCAACTAAGTTATTTAGCTAACAAACAACGTTAGCTACAGAACTGTGGCTAAAGTTAGTTAGAAGGCAGCTTCTTAATCGAATTTTCCCGTTCCACCTTAAATGGTGCCGCAGTCACTTTCTGGCGCCTCAGGCTTAGCTAGCTATTTAGAATATAGACGCCGGAAATGTAACTGCTGCGCTATTTAAGGTGGAACGGGAAAATTGGAACATGTAGCTGGCGAATATGAACCCAGCGAAGATAGCCCATTCAGTATACCGGAGACATCGAAATGTCGGTCTAATTCATATAACTGACGAGTTTAAGAACGATTAAAACAATATTTACTTTTGCACTACAGTCCTCTGATAAATCACAGAATTTAGCTAGCTAATCACTTTGTGTTGTAAAGTGTTTCATATTGCTAACCTAGGTTAACTTATTAGTATGCATTGAATAATTATTTTTAAGTCTGATTTATTTTCTCTTTATTTTGTGATATTTAAAATAATTGCCTTTTCTGTAGTTTCTTTTATCAAATCAATATCAAAAAGGTGGCTGCAGTGGTCTGTTCTATTCAGCTGCACACAAATACGTTTATCTTGTAATAACCAAATATTTCGGTGTATTAGTATTCCAAAGAAATTAAATTACAGTATTCAGACTAATGATAGATCAGATCAGACAAGCCTCTGACTGAGAAAACCCTATAGAATAAGAGGTCAAAACATTTTGTCCAACAGGTTGCAATGCTGGCAGATATGCCAGTGAACCCTCTGAGCGATGGAGTTCAATGGGAAACCAGACAAGGCATGCATGGAAAGGTAAGATATTTGCAGTGTTTAGTCCTCCGACTTGTATGTAAGCACACAGCTTGCTAAGTATTATGTGTACTTATTATCATAACACATGGTGCTGAGCATAGTCTGTTAGCAATAGTATCGTCCTCAGCCGCCCTCCCTTCATTCACAATCCACCTATCAAAAGCCTGACGTGTAATACTGACCATACAATAGAAGATACACTGGTTTCTTATTATGTTTCTTATGGTTTGGTTCATAACACCTAATCCACAATGCTGAATCACTGCATGTTTTGTTGATGTGTAAATCTTCATGTTAAATAAAAAAAGTAACTGCACATTTTACAGGTTAATTAGCAAAATTCCCAGTCCCAGAGCCCCAGATCTTTACATGTCCAGCCAACGTATTTTCCCATCTGTACCACTATATAGAGGAAGGAAAGGGTTTATCTGCTTGTAAAGGGGTGCATGGGGTGCATGATGGGAAATAAACTCAAAACCCTAGTTGCAGTCTTACAAATAGCGACCTTGCAAGATTCCCAGTCTTTGCAAAATCATAGTCTTCAAAAGTCTTTACAAATTCTTCTCAAAAATGTGAATTTTGCTAATTAACCTGTAAAATGTGCAGTCACTTTTTTTATTTAACATGAAGATTTACACATCAACAAAACATGCAGTGATTCAGCATTGTGGATTAGGTGTTATGAACCAAACCATAAGAAACATAATAAGAAACCAGTGTAACAGGAAGCAAAAAAAATAAATAAATAAAAATAAAAACATTGATGCTTCTTCAATAATGTGGAGCAGATTTGCCTTTTTTTTTACAGAGATTTCAGGCTCTCACGCTTGCATTTTCTCCCTTGCTCTCTCTTTCTCTCTCGCACTATCGCGCCGCGCGCATGCGCTCGCCCGCTCGCTCTCAGGCGTGACCCTGGCACGTCACTATTTACATGAGCCAAGACTTAAAACATACAATAATATTAAACACGTTTGATTTTGTCGTAGCGTCAAGACGTAAAAAAGACTACCATAAAACAGCCATCCTGACCACCTCACACTAAACGATCGAGATGACGCGAACGCGACGCAACTCTAGCAAGACTCTCATGATTTTATTCCGACTCTGGAAATTTGTCTGCGACAGTGAAATCGCTTGATAAGTCGTTTGGTGTAAGGCCGACATAAGACTATAATTAACGATTTGCTTACATGACTGTCTTATGCTGCCCTCTGGTGGCAATAAAAGGTCGCTCAGGACATTGAATCACGCTCTAGCCTGCTTATCGGTATTAAGGTCAGTCTTTGCTTTATTATCAAATTAACTTTCTAACACATGGTCTGAAGTTAACAATGCAGGTTCTGATTTTGTGAATCAGTTGCAATATATAACTTAAAAAGTGCCCAGGGTTACTTGTTGGTTGTTTATGTGAAATGCAGTTTTCAGGTATGCTGCGATCAGAAGACCCTCCGAAAAAAAGAGCCCCCAAGCACAGCTGTTTCTTAGGAGTGGAGACTTGTGCTGAGCTTGTCTGGGAGGGCTGGGAATTGGGAGGAGAATATACCAAATCACTGATCCTTAAAAATGTGCATGGGAAACTGCAGAAACTCACTTTCAGGTCAGTCTCAACTTCAGTGTGATTCTGGGCAGCACAGGGAACCCTGAAATGTAAGGACATATTTAAGATGTATTTGTTTGACTGTTGTGCAAATTATCTCACCTTTCATTTCAACTCTCGGTGTGTAGTGTGAAATATTTCATTGCAATATGAGATAAAAATCTATTAGTCCTATATTGTTTAATTTCTTGCACATATTATTAGGCTTTTTCTATTTTTCAGACCACCTGTGTCCAAATTCTTCAACACACTGTTTCCTCAGACCATCATTCTGAGTCCCGGAACATCCTTCTCGCTACCAATAAGTTTTCGCCCCCTTCAGAAGGTGTACTGTTTTCTCCCTGAACCTTTTTCATTTTATGACTACACTATAGCTGCCATGATTTGTGGGTTTGTAAGCTTGGTTCAACTGAAAGATCATAAGCATATTAGGAGCCATTTTATCTTACATATCTTATTCGTTTGTGTTATTGTGTCTTTGTCCATGAGTTAATAAATGACTGTTCATGGCTGTTTGTGTGTCCTTCCTCTGTAGTGTGAGTATGTGGACAACATCGAGTTCCACTGTAAGGAGGGGACATTCCAGGTATCACTGCGTGCAGTGATGCTGCGTCATGCCCTAGAGCTGCCCGACTCAGTACAGCTGCCTCCCTGTGCTGTTAAACACAGCTCAAGTACCAGCTTTCTGTTCCGCAATGCTAGGTATGGAGACCTCAACAGACATTTTGTTGTGCAAACAAACCTTAGAAGCTACGTTCACAGAAATATGGGTTAGAAACCACTGCTTTATGAAATAGTGAGTTTGTCAATGTAAAATGAGTGAAAAATCAATGTATTTTACCTGTTGTTATCTCCTAGTAAATTGCGGACTGGTTTCCAGTGGATGGTGGAGCCGCCGTTTGAGATCTCACCAGTGAGTGGGCTTCTGGAGCCGGGAGAAGGGCGCAAGGTCACTGTTACATTTAAACCTCAGGAAGCACTAGTGTACCAGGCAGAAGCTTCCTGCACATTCGGGGATAATGGCGAAAGCAGCTGTGCCATGTTATTAAGAGGACTGTGTGAGTTCATTGAGCTTACCAAACTTACATTGTTGTCATACTAATTATATAATAATTATTAATATATTAATGGGTGTCACATTGGTATGAATCTATCTGGCAGCTGTTTATGTTTTTCTTACACATCATTACCCTTACTGGCCAATTTGTTAGACACACTTACCTTGTTGGTAGGCTACAGCCCAGTCCAAGTGGCATAGAGTCCAGTTATTGTATAACTACAAAGTGCACTCACATAGAATAAGTACCTGATAAAATACCAGTGAGTGTATATGTAGGTAAATTGTTCAAATTTGGATTTTTTTGCTTTCTACGCATACAAATTCCACTTATACTTATACTTAAATATAATTTCTATTGGTTTTAAAAAAAGAAAGTTTTTGGACATTTTAATATTCTTCAATTTTTGTATTACTGTTTTCTCTATGTTTTTTAGCCAAGTACCCTCACCTTCAGATTATCTCCCCTGGCCAGGAAGAAGGCTGTGGGCTGCTTGAGTTTGGCAGCGTAGCAATTGGGAGCTCCCTGGAAAAACATTTTGAGATCTACAACCCCACTTTAGTGAGTCACTGTGATGCACAGTGATGTCAATGGCTTATGTGGCTATATTTAAACCTATTTAATGCTATGTTCACTA